ATTAGGAAGCTACTATTAGGTCATAAACCCATACTCTTAGCATATCCTCCTTTAGGTTCTTCTCCTGTATTTCATGAACAATGTTCAAGTTTGTCCAAGAGTCTAGAGTTAGTATTGGATGAATTTCAGGATGTTTTTCAAGAACCTCCTAATGGGCTTTGACCTCTAAGGGGGATCAAACATCAAATAGACTTCTTATCTGATTCATCCATTCCTAACCGGTCGGCTTATAGGGCAAACCCAAAAGAGTTTACAGAGATCCAAAGGCAAGTCGAAGAATTAAAAGTTAAGGATTGGGTTCAAGATAGCATGAGTCTCTGTGTAATGTCGGTAATTCTCGTCCTCAAAAAGGATAGGAGTTGGTGGATGTGCATGGGTTGTAGAGCAATCAATAATAGTATAGGTACCCAATCCCTAGGTTGGATGACTTACTAGATGAGTTACATGGAGCTTCTGTGTTTTCCAAAATTGATCTGCAGAGCAGATATAAACAAATCAGAATCAAAGAAGATGAATGGAAAACAACAAAAAAAGTGCAAAAAAGAAAAAAAAGAGAAGATAGAAAAGAAAGATAAGGGGAATAAAAAGGTTTTGAAAATTTGTGGACGAATTCTCTCCAAGGCGGGGAGGATGATGAGTACCTAGATGCCCCGAAGACCGAAGAGGTCGTTCCTTGGAGGATCACTAGGAGTATGACTAAAAGGGAGATCTCTTTCTCACCCTCCACTTTGAATTTTCTTAGCATTTATTTTCTTAAATTTTAGAGACTCATTTTCGCATTTTTTTGTAGGACCACTTTATACACCTCCTTTTTGAAGACCACCACCTCTTTTTGGTGGGAAAGAAGGTTCAGACATATAGGATGGTTGCATGGGCTGCCCAAAGGTGTAGGGCACTCCTTTTTCATGTCCTACACCCCTTTTTGGAGAGGAAGAAGTTTGGCTTGCGAGTATGATTGGCTTGGGCCAACCCAAAAGGAAGCACACCTCTTTTTTTCATGTTCTCCACACCCTTAGAAGTATTTTTGGTGGGCTAGGACAAATTTAATATATTTGGACCATGGGGACTCTAGCCTTTAAGTTTAAGTTAAGCTTGTGTCTCCTTTTTGTAATTCCATCTAGGTCCCTCCCCCAAAAGCCTATAAATAGAAGGCTTCTTCTCATGTAATTAGGTTGAACATTTATGACAAGTTTGTGAGGTTTCTTAGAGTGTTCCATCTCTTTAAGTGTCTTATCTTGAACCTTGGTTCAAGTAGCGGTAACCACCACTTATCTAGGGTGGGTCATCCCCTAGTGACAACACTCCACCACCACCATACTTCTCTTCTCTTCCTCTTTTCTTCTTTATTTCTTCACTCTATTTAACTTTTCATATTTGAACTTAAAAAACTCCTAATACTCCTCATCAGAAATCTTCATATATGGTTTTTTTTATTTAGATGCATGGGTCGTTTTATAAGGAAAGTCATGCAAGGAATAACAATTTTCCTGCGTGTGTCTCATCCTCTTACAATAGGTGCATTGAGGATGAACTTTCGAACTACCACATTCACCTCGATTATTGTGTCCTCTCCCTCGACCCGGAGGGGCAACCATAGTAGAAGATTCAACAATCTTCAACTGATTCTCATCAACCATGTGATTAGAAACCCGAATCAACCTAGTGACAAGATTATCCATTGATGGAACATGATCACCAATTAGGATTTGATCACACACGTGATCAAAGTCAGAATACAAACATCTTAAAATTAGAACTATATATAGCTTATCGAGTTTGGTGTTTAACTCCTCTAAGGTATTTGCAACAAGAAGCCTTTTTAATTCTTCCACAACAGCCCTAGTTTTTGGAATGGGAGCCATCATGTCGTGATTGGTCTACTTAAGTGACGTCACTCTTTAGTTGCATCAAAGAGACATTGAATATCATTAGCAAAAGTTTCTTGAGCCTTTTTCCAAAAAGAAAAACAAGTTTTGAATGACCTAAGATGCTCAACAACATTCGGTTCCATAGACTACCATAATATTGCACAAAGTTGGAAGTCTATTTTCTCCCACTGAGATCTTTATGCAACAGAAATAGAGTCTACATCATTCTCCAAATGGTCGTGATGCCTTGGACTGAGAAACCACAGCTCAACTGAAGCAAATTAGGATAAGGAATTTTTCCAATGAGTCTAGCACTAGTTATGGTGGGAGTAGTAGAAAAGGTGAAGGTAGAGGATGAGGCCTTCTGAACCAGATAAGATGAATAAAGCTAATGAATAGGGTTACCCACGGGACCTTTCACACACAGTTCTCAAACCAGGAAACTAAGGGCATCATTGGACTCAGAGAACGTCGACGAGTCGAATAGGGATGATCGGCCTTGATTCCAGCCACTAGAAGGCGATGCGTGGGACACACGCCCCTAAGAGGGCTCATCGGGATGACCGCGTGTGACAACGCGTGGAGTAGCTGACGAAAGAGCAACTTGCAAGGGTAGGTCGCGCTCCTCAAAGCAAGCAAAACCCTTCCTTCGCCGGTCCAAATGGAGACGATGGCTGACGGTGACAACGGCGGCTAACGACGACCGAAGCTGACAAAGGCGACCGGAAATCAGAGCAAGATCTTACCTGCTCTGATACCAACTTGAAAAAACTTATTTAGGGTTTGATTCAATGATCAAAGACACTGATACATTATATTTATTAAAAAGTACAATAAACAGAATATGAGCCTCAGTCCAAGCTCTTAACCCTAGTCTAAGAAATATTAAAAAAAAATACTAAAAGGTACATAAACAACCGAACTCAAGGAGAAAAAACTTCCAAGAAATCTTAGAAAATTAAATCCTTTACCACCATGAATAAAAAAAAAAAAAAAGCAATATCAACGTGTATGCCAGCGCCTGCCGACTAAACAATTCCTTTAAGAACATTAAAACAATTTTATTGTAAATTGCTACTCTAAACGTGTGTACCGTAAGTACCAGTACTTTTGTATGTGGTTTGTGATTGAAATTACCAAAATTCTTTATTGAAAGAAAATTACTATAATTCTAAAATTACATTCATGTTTCTTAAAATAAATATTAATAATATGAAATGATATTATTGACGACTTTGAAAATTACAATTCAATCGTTTTAATAAGAAATTAGAGTAAATATTAATTTTTTAAATAATTAAATAGATATAAAATTAAAATTTTGTAAGCAGAATCAATTTTAATAAAAAAAAATTGAATATCAAAATATAATTTTTTATAAAATATAATAATTTTAAATAATAATTATTTTATTATATTTTCATTTTATTTTAATTATTATTTATCTTTTACCCTTTAATATATTTTATTAATATTTTAAAAATTGAACTGATCATTTAATCGATTATTAATAAAAAATATATTTATAATATGATAATTATATAATAAATTTTATAAATATAAAATATATTAAAAAGTATATGATGGATATTATTAAAATAATATGAAAATATGATAAAATAATTATTATTTAGAGTTGATGTAAATAATATGAGATAAAAATAAAAAATAAAAACTAAAATATATTATATTTTTTATAAAAAAATTATATTAAAAAAATTGACCTTTTATTTTTTTTTCTTTTTTAACAAAACTGATTTAACCAAAATACCTAATCCATTTTCTCCATTTAATTGATTTTGTACCACTTTTTTACTTTGCCCAATTTAGCTAAAATTCAATTATCTAAAAATATCATATCTATTTCTAGATGGATTTTCGATTACACCAGTTGAATCAACTCATAAGGTCTAATTTTCAAAATAATGCATTTTATGCTTGTAATATTTATGGTAACTCTAGTGATTATGATAACAATTTTTATTATTTTTTAAAAATTATTATTCTAAAGAATTTATTAAATTATAAAGATATTATTTTATTTACCTCTTGCTGGATCTATTAAAATTTTAAACCTCTAAATTCCAATATTCTAAACTGATCCAGTTTTAAAACATTATGATTAAGAAATATGACCTTTTATCAAGTTTGTCTTGTCTGTTATGCAACATCGTGATTTAGTTTCCTCCATACAAAAACCTTTTCTAGTGAAACGCTTTAAACAATCCCTCCTGTATCTTCCAATAACTATTTGAAAAATATTTTCAATCTTCCCTTATGAATCAAAGTCTAAATTGTCTCTCACTCCTTTGGTTTTTTGAAAACATAATTTTGAATCTTTTTCTAACTTCAAAGACTCTAAATCATTATATGACCTATCAAAACACTAATATTCCAAATAACAAATTCTATCAAACATTCATAGGCTAACTACTTTAGAGTTATTCAAATTTGGAATTTCAATAAACCATCAACTGTTGAGAACCCCTCAATCCTTCCAAGATACCTGAAAGTTGAGAATGGCTTTCAAAAAAGCACAATATAAAACAGCAATATTCATTCCAAATTATTAGTTACATTGATCTTTAAGTAGGGAAGTGACTTCAATGTAAATAATCTACTAATTATTTTTTAGACTGTTAAGACTTATTTTCATTATTTACAATAATAAAAGATCACTTGTAAGATTTTGTTCATTTTTATGAAAAACCGAGACATTAGATAGAAAACTGAATTTATTATTTTAAAAAAAATAATTCTTGTATGAAAAAAGAACTAAGAAATCGCTCCAAATACTGCAAAAAGCCAGATTTAATGATTAAATTAAGTCGAGCATGTCTGTAAAAGACTTGTAGGCTATCGCGCCATACAGCACCAATGAGTGACTTGAAAAACCTCCTAAAAAATAGTATTTAATTTTATTATAAAAATGAGACAGTCGTGCAAATATCATACAACAATATGTTAAACATGAACATCTGTCTGATATGAAGACAGTTCTACGGGGGCAACTTGAGAGACTAATGAAAAGCTATATCCTGTTCTATAACTAGGGATGCATAATGCATCTAGAATTTAAATAACACATCGCACATGTATACATTAGAGAATCAGTTGAAGGGAATACAATTATCAGCTCAGAAGCACATTACAAGGCTGTCTCTCGATTCTCCTCCGTTTTTTTTCAGGTTCAGGGGGCTGCAAAAAGACAGAATAGTTGAAAATAACATTAAGGTGCAAGAATTCAAAACATACCTAGAGTTAAGAAAGCTATACTAATTCTAAATCAAAAAATTCTTTTCAGAAGGGGTTGAAACAAACACCAATTCACTTGAAAAAAATGTGAACCTTTTGTATTATTCGTGCACTAGCTTCCTAGTAGATTTTAATTTTTTCCACACAAGCCAAAGTAGAACATGTCACATTACCTCCTCGCTGAGTAAATGTGGAACCCGAACCCTTTTCGAGCCATCAGGGAGACGTTTAGAAGGTGAACGGTTTTCCACAGCAGCAGAAGAGGCATCACGAACCTGAATACAAAATAAGTATATTCTATATCAGAACCGAAGTATGGAATGATCTCAATCCAATTATGTCCAGAGTAAATAATATAATTAGTCACAAGCTACACATTTTTGACACAGTCTAGTTCCTCAGATCCAACATCAATTTATGAAGCTCTCGTCATAAAGCACTTTAATTTGTTACGGAAGAAATTATCTGAAGAATACTTAGTTACCTGACTTTGTATGGTCCCTATTAACATATCCTGACAACCTGATGCATGCACATTTGCCAAAGTGGGGCACTGGAGCAACAGTCTTCCTGAACCAGTTATGTTCAAACGAAATAAATCAAATATTACTATTGTAGAGTAACTCTTAATGTGATGAATTTAATTATATTTTCACATGATAATTACTGAAGAACAGGAGGAGCCTAACTACCTGGATGCAAATTTGTACAAGAATTTAGATTCAGATCAACGAGTTGTGGGCAGTTTAAGTATAGGGCCTGCATATTCATTGAAAACGAGATACAAAGATTAGAAGCATTGGAAAAATTATATAACATAAAGATCTTTAGTCTAGTTAAACTCACATCTAAGCCAGTGCAGCCCCATAAACTGAGTTTCCTTAACCGGCTATGTTTGATTATTAGTTTTTGGTTTATAAGGTGTACATTAGAGCCAGATGTTTTTTGTAATTTGCAGTTATTTTCTTCAGCGGCTGAATTTTGATAATTAGGATCACATATGGTCATTCCACAGTCCATAATTTCAAGGAGCGGCAACTGAAATGTAGCGAACTGAATACCACCTGAATCAGATAACAGCATATTAGGAAGCAGAAAGCCAAGCTAGCATGAAAGTTGAGTAATTGAATATATAATAGAAAATTACTTGAAGTCACGTTGGGGCAGAGAGCAAGAAGGAGTCTTGTCAAAGTATCAGGGAACACATTGCAAATCATACTAATGCCACTGTCACTAACACCAGATCTGTGACAAAAATTTATCCATTATACACACAATTTTCAAGAGTTAAACAAGGAAATTAAGAAAAAATATACATTCTTGAAATAAACTGCTTATTATATTTTCCATTATCTGTGTACGGTATTTCTTTGCGTAGATTTACTGAATTTCAATACTCCAATAGAACTTGATTACAATAAGAATGGGTTCAGATACATACCCACTAAGATCAAGCAACTCAAGATTTGGATAGCTTGAGGCAATTGCCGCAACAGATGCATCAGTGATTTCAGACCCAAGAACAAGAGAAAGCATTCGCAGCCCCCTTAATTGTATTGAAACAAAACTTCAATAAGCCCATTTAATCAAGTGGAAGTTAAAGCAATCATTAACTCTAATAAAATATAAACACAAATGGCATTCTCACTGATTTTATAAAAGGCATCCCCGCGGGACTTCAGATATAAATATTGAAGTCGGGAATTGAATCATGATTTGATTGTTGCCTGATAATTTGAGTGTCCTGTGACAGTGTATACATTCTAATATTGTAGACTACATGTTATTTGTTTCATGTCCTTTCTTGAGAACACCAATTTTAGAGAGCAGCAGAAAATTGGAAATGATCCTGTTTGTTCATGAAAAATGTTTTGTTCATTCCCCCAGATATCATGACACTGGCAATTACGGATACAAAGTTCAAAGCATTGTAGATTGCAAACTTTCATTTCAAGGGAAGAAATTTCAACATGAAAACATATTGTCAATGTTAACTGAAAAAATGAAGATCAAGATGCCAAGATCAAATGACAAACCTCAACTGAGCAGCTGCAAGAGCAAGCACAGCAGAGTGTGATAGCCGTTCTGAAGCTATATGTATGTTTTGCATTATCGGGCAACTTCTTCCCAAACATTCAATCATAGTTGTGAGATCTGTAGTGTCATTTTCTTGGCAAGAAAACTCCAAGGAAATCTCTCTCAATTGGGGACAATTAAATACCTACAATTTAAGGCATGTTAGCAACTATAGTTCACATATAATGCAAACTCACCAACATATAAACGTAGTTATTGATCATCGCATTTAATAACATAAGAGAAAGAAAGAAAGAAAAGGCAAAAATCACCATCTTTGAGAGAGAGTGCAAATCTGATAGCCAGAGGGTAGAGAGACTAGAAGAACATAGGACAAAACCCCCCAGGTTAGAACAACCTTTCATCTTGAGGCTTTTGAGGCTTTTTTTATCAGCAACAAACCGACATAATTCATCCCTGCGTTTTCATAATCGGATTGTCAGATAAAAAAGCAAAAGGTAGTGGTATTCTTTAGTTAAACATGTATATGTAATGTCTAGTAGCATATAAGTATCAAATAAAGAGATTAAACAGAGATCAGAAAACAAAGACATCCAACTAATCTTCAAGAGATTATTATTTGGGACCATGACACATGAGAAATATTCATATTTTACCAATATTATCAAAATAGAGAGAACGAAAACTAACTTCTGAAATGTGTGAAAGCTTTAATCAAGACTACCATACAATGAGATAGTGTAAAAATAACCAACATTTACCCGTCACCCCTTAAGACAATGCCAAACTCAGAACAAGAAAAATTTATTCTCCACATAAACAGAGAAAAAATGTTCAAAAATTAAAAAGATAAGAACGAGTGATACCCATTGATTCGAATGGTTGCCCCATTGAATGTGGAGATCTCCATACATTCAAGATTAGGACAAGAGAAAGCAACACAAGCCAGCATAGTTGAATCAAAATCACTGCAACACAACAACAAACGGGTTAGATTCATAAAAGAAGAAATCACTGCATATTAGTAAGTAGGGATTGCAACTCGATCCCATTTTAAAATTCAATCCATTCATTTTCTTTTACTTTTTGTGCCCATGCTATCCCAGCAAGCGCCTGTTGCCAAACTATCTAAGATTCGGATTTCAATTTTGAAAGATCGACCTTGATTTACAGATTCTCTTAGTTCCATGTTTATCAAATATTATTATCTAGGTTTTAAATTTTTTTCAAAGTACCAGAACAATTTTTGAACAATTCCTATCATATCTATTCCCCGTTCTTCAATCAAAACGGCATCGCAGATCTAGGCCCTACCTCTCCATCCTAAGCGAGAGCCTCACAATCCCAGGGCATTTCTGCAACATCGAGGCGACAAACCAGACCGGAACGTTAGCAGGAACCCTAAGTTTCAACTCCTCGGCCGCTTTCCACAGTCTCTTCGCCGTCTCCCTCCATCCCCGACACACCTTGGCAGCGGACAGCAGTCCTGCCGGCGGCAGTCTCTTCATCACATCCCACAGAAGATTCGCCGGCAGTCCGCACGATTTTGCGTCCAGATCCAGATCCGGATCGGTCTCAGAAAAGAAATCTGCATCCTCTCTTTCCTCCGGTTCAGACCGATCGAACCCAGAACCACGTTCATCGAGATCGTCAAACGACAGGGCACGACGGAGGTTGGAGGCCGGATGTCGGAGGCCTGAGGCGGCTGATGAAGGGGCGGATGCGACAGAGAGAGACGACTCGGGAGGGGCAGGAGTCGCCGAAGCAGATATGGGAGTCTTGCCGGTGCAGTTGTGACCTTTTTTCGGGAGGCCGCAGCGACCGCAGTTGTAACTGCCGCGCTTCTTGCCACGCTTACCATCAGCGGCGGCATCTCCGCCATGGTCGGGTGGGAGAGCCGCAGTGAACTGCATAGTTGATAGAGAGGGAGTGAGATTGAACGATGATAGAGGTAAATATAAGAACACTGCGCGGGAGGGGTTCGCGGGTTCGCGCGCTTATTTTGATGTATCTAACGTGTTTGTTTTTAATTTTTTTTTTAAATGACTCGGTTTGTATAAGTATATGCTGAATGCACATGATGTAAAGTGTTGTGACTCACCTCAGTGAATAAATGGAACCATTTCAGATTTTGTAATAATTAATATCGGATTCTTTCTTAATAACCACCTATTTATTATTCAATAATTTAAAAGATTTTTATTGTGTAGAATGATTTATTTAAATTGGCAATTAATTGGTCTTTTATCAATACTTAAAAACTTTATTTTTTACAACGACATTAATTATTTTTATTAAATATAAAAAAGAGTTTATGTACACGTGAATATACACAAAATTGTGCAAATATTAAAGAATAGTTTAACATATTCAAATTTCTTTAGGGGTTATTTTTTAATCATTTATAGTTTTCTATAAATGATTTATCATAAAACAATTGTTTAAATATGATATGTATTTTTTTTATGAAAATTAATTATATAATTGTCAAGCTTTTTATAGAAAATATTTAGTTAGCATATTTTTCTTCGTACTTAATAATTAAAACTTTTATTTTGTGATGTCACTTTAAAAATGTGATATATAATTATAATTATGCGTGAATATAAATAATGTTATAACTTATTTCTATTAATATATTTTGAGTTTATAGATTGTGTTAATTTTTCAATTAAGTAAATGTTATAATTATATTGATCTCATAAAAATGTCATTTATAAAAAATCATTATTGTTTCTTCATATTTAAATTTAATGTAAAAAATCTATAAAAAATATTTCAACAACTTATTATTTTATAATAAAGTTGTAATCTTATTTTTTTTCATCAACAGGTAAAAATTGAATTTTTTTTAATTCACAATATAAAAATAAAAATGATAATAGTTCAAATAAAATTATGTTTGGAAAAAAATTTTAAATATTAGAAAGAAATAATTTAAGGAAAATAATCAAGTATTTTGTTTTCAACAACACAAAATTATTTATGCTTCAAACAAGTAAGAAAAGAAAAAATAAATTATTGATCGAATTATTTTTCTTTAAAATTCTTTTTATAGTACAATACTTTTAAATTGTTTAATTTAAATGCTAAAGTCAAATTTGTGTGATATTTTTTTATAACTCGTTTTCAGGTGAAATTTTTTGTTTTGTTTCGATTTTCTAAAGATTAAGTTATAACCAAATTTTAATTATCGTAAGTTCTTTTTATTTAGGTTAGCAAACATTTTTTCAATAAAAAATGTATAAAGTGATAAATTTAAGTACGAAACACTGAAAACGTATTAAAAACCATACAAACATCAATGAAATTGAAAGTTCTTTTTTTTTTTAATTACCAAACTTGAGAACATGAAAATCGACAAAAGTAAAGAAAGCAAGTAAAAAGATGTTAAGGCAAAAAGTAATACATAATGTTAAATTACACAAGAGTAAATGACCATGTAATTGAAATAACTGGAAAGTACAGAAAAGTAAATTTAACTTGCAAGTAGATAAATTACCGAGAAAGTAAAGAAAGCGTTAAAAGATATTGAGACGAAAAGTAATGTAGAATCTTAAATTGCATAAGAGTAGATGACAAGGAATTGAAATAACTGGAAAGTACATACAGATAAATTTAAATTGCATTAAAGATAAATTACCCGGGAAAGTAAAGCAAGCGTTAAAAGATATCGAGATGAAAAGTAATGCAGAATCTTAAATTGCATAAGAGTAGATGACAAGGAATTGAAATAACTGGAAAATACAGACAGATAAATTTAAATTGCATTAAAGATAAATTACCAGGGAAAAAAAAGAAAACAGTAACAAAAGTCGATAAAAGTGGAAATCCAGATTGCTAGAAACTGTTAGAAAAGTAGTTTTAGATCAAGAGGGGGGGGTGAATTGATCTTTAAAAGATTTTCTCAAATAACAGATTATCTATGTGTAAAAATAAGATTTCAAATCTATTCTTGAATCACAAAGCAAGCAATCAAAGGTAAACGCAGCAACAGAATTAAAAGAGGAGAAAGGTTTAGAAAGATATCACCGGTGTTTATACTGTTTCACCCAATACCAGGGCTACATCCAGTCTCCGGCCAAATTCCAGCTGGGTTCCACTAGATCAAATGTTTTACAGATTATAATCTTACACTTAATCTACCACAAGAACCACAATTCCGGTTCTCGCACCTAACCTTTCACCAAGAACCAAATTTCAGTTCTTGACAACCTCTACAACCAAATTCCAATCAGAGAGAAACCAAGTGCCCACAATTCCAGGCACCAACACCTAACCTTTCACCAAGAACCAAATTCCAGTTCTTGACAACCTCTACAACCAAATTCCAGCATGCATAGAAACCAGTGCCCACAATTCCAGGCACCAAACAATACAAAAAGAATGTAAAGAAATGAAAAGAAGAAACTAGAATGCTCAAACCAGCTTTTATGCAATCTGCAAGTGTGTTTCTTCTTCAAAAGAAAGCAATTTGCCTCAAGAAAGAATTTCAAAGAACTTCACAAAAACTGGCGCGAATCTTTCTTGAAAGAGTGCTAAAGTTTGCTTGCTTGATTGCTAAAGATTGATGTTCAATGTTGTGTTAAAAATGTTCAAGCCAAACTGTTTTTATAGAAGATTTTCAAAACTCATCTGGTTTAATTAATCTGTTAAAAAATCTTTTAATCTGTTAAAAGTGCGGCTTTAATCTGTTAAAACTTCTTTTAATCCATTAAAGCGTTCTTGATTATTTAACAGATTTGTTTTAAGCTGATACTGACAACGTTTGTATCAATTAAAACTCTTTATAAAAAATCTTCTAATTTGATTTAATCGATTGTTTCATGTTTCAATCGATTAATATACTCGCAAAACTTTATTGTGAAATTTTCAAAGTGATTTTAACTCATAAAAATAAGTTTTAATCGATTAAAACGTTGTGTAGAAATTTTCTAAGTTGTTTTAATCGATTGAAACGTGTTTTAATCGATTGAAAAATCTCTGATCGGTCATAACTCAATTCTGATCGATCATATCTGATTCTGATCGGTCATAACTCAATTCTGATCGATTATATCTGATTCTGATTGGTCATAATTGCATTTTGATCGATCATCCTGAATGTTAAGTGGATTTAATCGATTAAAACCAAGTTGTATCGATTAAAATACTGCAAAAACACTTCTCTTAACATATTAAGTGATTTTAATCGGTTATTTCGAAGCTTTATCAGTTAAAACACTGACAGAAGGTTTTCAAAACTTTCTTTAATGAAAACAACCGGTTATTTCGAAATTATATCAGTTAAAAACTTGTTTAAAAAAGATTTTGTTAAAATACTTTGTTTTTAACTGCTTAAACGTTTTTAGAGGCATTTTGCAAAATCTTTTAAGTGAAGAAACCTCATGCAGCAGAAAAGATAAAAGTGATTATACCTAAGCATAGCAGCGGACACACTAATCCCTCTATTCTTTTATCTAAGTGACTGTTGACCGCTACAAAGTTGACTTTGACTTTATCTTTGACTTCATCAAATCAACAGAATCTTTGCCAGAGTATTTCAATAAGATCTTCATCACTTTCAGTCTCCCCCTATTTGATGAAGACAAACACCACTTTGAAAAATAACTCTACAAAAGAAGTCACTTGATAAAACAGATTAGTGAGTAATAAAGAAATGAATTATTTTCCTATTTCTCCCCCTAAATTGTTGTTTCCTAAATAAAGAATTATTTTTGATCAAAAGTAAAGCAACTAAAGCAACTATTCTCCCCTTTTGACTTCATAAAAAATAGGGATCAGAAGAGAAACAATGCAAAGGTATGTAATAAGTTTGAGATCTTGAAAATTGAAAAAAAATGAATACGATATCTTACTCATGTAAAGATCAATCAAAGTTGATTCAAACTTATCTTCATTAACATATTTGTAATGAATACAATTAACACGTGTAAAGATAAGAGAATCACGCTTTAGTAGCATGTTACAAGAACAACCATTAACTAAAGCCTTTAATTTTTCTTTTCAGAATAAAAATCAATTAAAAACAGGACAAAATCGATTAAAAAGTTCTTGTTTAATGATTTTAATCGATTGAAATAAAGGTTTAATCGATTAAAATAGTGAAAGACTTCGAAAGTTTGAAACATAAGTGCATTTAATCGATTAATTCGACTTTTAATCGATTAAAACAGTAAAGAAAAATATTGTATAATTTCTTTTAATCGATTTAAAGTTTGTTTGTATCGATTAAAATGGCCAGTTTTGAAATCTTAGTAATGTTTGATGTATTTGTCATGCCTAATCCAGTGCAAATTTTGTAAAACCGATCATTTAGTAAAGTGTTTTACAATAATATCAACTACATCGATTAACTTTTAACCAATAGATCCATCAAAATCTGAATAGAATCTTATTTAGCTAATTCAACTTATGTAAACTAGTTTTAGTTGATTAAATTCATTTTTCTTTATCAGCTAAAAATATCAGGGATCTATGTAAAATTCTATATAGGTTTCCTAATTCGACTTAAAACCTACATTATATTAATCACAGCTAAAAATATTGTTTCTGGTTAATAACCAGTTAATATTACAGTCCATAAAAGAGATTTTAGAAGTAAAAGAAATATGACGTAAAGAGAGAAAAAAAAAAGATAAGAATGGACCCTTTCTGTCCAAAAAAAAACTCAATCATCCTAGTTGCCTTGGTTCCACAATAACATCTGAAACGCCTTTAGAATTATTGAAGGATCCTCTTGTTGGTTTGTTGTTAGGGATGCCAGATCATCAGTATAAAATTGATCCCTGTACTGCCAATAAACACACATACCCTGTGCCAATTTTAGCTTTCCATTCAATTCTTGAATTTCTGTCTCAGATTTGTCTCCTTACAGTATCACTTCGTGACCTTGATGATTAAAACAAATTCC